CAGGATTACGACGCAAGAGTTCACATCTGTCTGCCCAATCTAAATCTTCAGCGGTCTGTGTTCTACCTTCCTGTTTTAAAATAGCGTCCAGTAAATTTGCCCACCTAAGATCAGCCGAAGAGAATGAACAAAACCAGGTAGGCACACCAAGTTGACGCACACAAGCTAGGAGGTCATTCTGTGCGCGCTGCCAAAATGCTGGAGTACCTCTAATAGGTGAGAGAAAACGAAAGCCATCATCAAATTGCAACAGCTTTCTTATGGTTTCCTGATTCAACAAATTATCTTCTATCGCTTTGGATGGAAAGCCTGCTTTGCCTTTTCGCAATGCAATAGACACACTGGACAACACCTGTTGCACCTCAGACAAATACTGAGCATAAAATATGTATTCTATATTTTGTGCAAACCTAACATCAGCATTTAAAACACGCATATTCAAATAGCGTGCTAATGTTATCTTGCGGGGCCTCGAATCATGGTAGGTGTTAATGCCCAGTGGGAACAATACAGGAAAGCATTTTGCTTCGTTGGAAATGTCTGTTAACAGCCTCACAGGACTATTACCCTCTGCTGGAGCGACATGTAATGTACTATCAAAATACTGATCCAACACTTCCTGTCCAATATCAACAGGCATCAGACATGTGTCCTGAAACATGCAATGCTGTTGCCTGTCGTGTAAAAGCTCATCCTCAGCATTAGCATCAGACGTTTCGTTTGTTGGCAAATCCATCAAGGTCCAATTGTCTACAAAGCCATCATCCTGTTCCCTCCAAAACTCATAAAGCTGAGCGTCATCAAGTTCCTCAAACTCGGGAACCCCTACAGGAATGCATGAACTTTCTTTTGCAGGACTATTGCCTTCTGCTGGGGCCATGTTCAGTTCTCTATCTGAAAACTGATCTGCAATTTCCAGATCAGTATTCACAGCCATCAAATCCATGTCCTCAAGCAAACATGGCTGTTCCTCAGCAGCCTCTGATGATGTTTCCTTGGTGTGGGTTTGTTTATTCTCTTCTTCCTCCCTACTAAACTCGTTATACCAACTTTTATTAAATTTAATATCCCTATAGTGCTTATTCCTTCTTTTTAAATTTTTCAATGCACGCTTTATGCGCATTGGGTCTGCAAATTGAAATTTATAATCACCTTTGTAGGTCGATTTACGCTTTAATTTGATTCGTAAGATGGAACCTTCCATCGTTGAGTGGGGGAGCAAATTGGTAGTTAGGGTGATATTGGCTGGAACACACGTCACCGGTCCGTGTACTCCATTTTGACCACCTTTGGGCAATGCCACCATCTTCATAAATGGTATATTTTGGGCTATTAAATGCTGCTCTATGCTGTTCAAACAAGCTAATTCTGGGGGAATGGGGTCTACTGCCAAATTATTTACAGCACATTCTGGTGGCATCACACCTCTCTTAAGTTTATTATCACAGCTGCTGCAGATCCAAGGCGTCCCTCTCCCAATTTCAATCCAAACACAGGGTACTTTACAGTCATCAGTACATGTGTGTAAAAATCTTTCTCCGATGCATTTATTAGCTAGCTTTTGATCCTTATATTTCGCTTTTATACACTGCAAGGCCTGCGATTCAAATAACAGCCTCTCGCAGCAGCTACATATAAAAACTGGTCCATTCTTAACTTTGGCCAAAAACTGCTCCATTACAGTATCAAATTCCTCTCTATTTTTTTTAATTTGTCGCCTCTTCAATTTGTTGCTAGCTGCTATTCGCTTCTTATAATCTGGATTACCATGATACCTTTTTGAAGTCATGGATTTTACCTTCTTTCTATGCAATTTATTTTGCCTATATTTACGTATGTTAAATGCTATTACTTTCTCTCTATGTAAAACCTTTAGTCTATATATTCTTTTACTTGAATCCTTTCTCATCTGATTATGCAATGGGTCTTCATAGTATCTAACCTGAGTATGTCCAATTGCTCTGTGTTTGTAATCTTCATCATCACAATACCTTTTTCTACCAGAGACTCTTACTCTCTCTTGATAATCTGCATCACTATACTTTTTCATGGACGCATCCCTAATCCTTTCCTGGTACACTGTGTTACATTTATAATGCTGTTTAATTTGTGACCTGTATATCTTTTTTAAATATGTTGAACGCCTACGACTACAGCTGGCAACACTCTCTGCATTAACTTTAACCCCACCCTTCTCAGTACAGATATCAATACTGCTACGCATATACCGTGTCTCTAGCAAACCACCCACTTTACATAATTTAAAGCACGTTTGATCATCATAAGGTATGATACAAACCACTGGCTCAAAATGATTTTTATCACTATGTTTCAAGTATATTTTTTCGTTTGAAACCATTGCACAATTACAAGTGTATTTGAGCCATTTCTCCCCCCTGCAGATAAAAATGTCCACTCCAAGAGCATTTGCTGTCCCTTGGATTTCTACATCTGTGGCACAATGTCCTACATACTTCATCTGAGACTTCTCAATGTAGTCTGAAATTGAAGCACATCCCCCAACTAATTTAGTTTGTTCTGCGTGATTCATCATCTGCTTTACAACAGTCGTTCTAATCTTTCTATGGCTCTTCTGAGAGCCACTGAGAACATGCGCTACCGCTCTGAAGAAACTATTAGCGTCCTCTTTTATTTTATCGGTCTTACAGACCACACCTAGGGACCCAGTTACTGTAGGTCCCTGTACATCCTGCTTTGTAAAGTCTATATTACACTTTGTGCAAAGTGTTTTTGCCACTTCATTGCACAAAGGATTAAATTCAAGAGTGATTTCACTTACATCACTCTTTTCCACACAATCTGTGTCCCCAGCAGGCGATGTACCATGCTTTTGTTCCGTTACCCTCCTTTTGTCTCTAGTTGTCCCTCTGACATTATACAGTCTTGGACAAGAAGTGTCCACTTTGCAATACCCATAACAACTCTGTAAATTAGGTTGTTTTACACACACAACAGTCTCATAATGATTACCATTGCGGTTTTCCAAATAAACCCCCCGATTAGACGACTGCCCGTTCTCGCAACTATATTTTAGCCAGCGTGGATCACAATATGTGAATATATTAACTCCCAACAAATGTGCTGCTGCTTGAATTTCTAATTCTGTGGCCCAACTGCCAACCTCACGCATTTTGGATGTGCTGAGGTATTCTGACATGGAGGAGGTCAAAATACGCTCATAAGGCACAGCATTGCTCTGCATTTGATGAACCACTGCACGCCTAATTATTGTGTGATGCCTTTGTGTACCACACACAGCTTGACTCACTGCTCTAAAGAAACAGTTTCCGTCCCCCTCTATTTTATCATTGATACATGGAGCCCCTAACAAACCAATTTGTGTAGACACAACATCTACTTTCTCTGACTGCACATGTAACTGCTCACAAAGAGCTTGTGCAAGTTCATTGCTAAGAGGATTAAACTGCAGTCGTCCACTTCTTACTTCTTTGACAAAAGCAACGTCTGAATCAACTACGGTAACATCACTCTTTTTAAATTTTTTGCTAGCAGAAGATCCCTTACGAATCTTACGCTTTGCACCCATCTGAATGTTGGTGCAGCCAAGTGTGGACTGAATAGCTGAACTACAACCCAAATCAGTCTCTGTCGTTTTGGGAGTCACTCTTGGACCCAAAGACAGATTACTGCTTTCAATTGGGCCTATGTGAGTGACTCCTACACCAGCCATCTCAAACTGTTTTTGAGACTCAGAAGATCCCTTTGGAATCTTACGCTTTGCACCCATCTCAATGTTGGTGCAGCCAAGTGTGGACTGAATAGCTGAACTACAACCCAAATCAGTCTCTGTCGTTTTGGGAGTCACTCTTGGACCCAAAGACAGATTACTGCTTTCAATTGGGCCTATGTGAGTGACTCGGACACCAGCGATCTCAAACTGTTTTTGACACTTCTTGAGGAACGCTGCAAATGTCCATATGTATTCAAACACGTCTTCAAGGCCTCTGAAATACAAAACAACACTACGCCCCTCGCCATCGCGCATCCCAGACGCACTGCGTGCATGGGAGTCGACCACTGCGTAGTGTCCACCTTGACCAATGATGGCACATGTACCGCCATTCATTGTCAGAAAGCATGTGTCATAGTTAGTACACATCCTTTCCAGTCCGCATTTTAGAGTGGTGTGCACCCCCTCATCAATGAGATCCCCCTCAACCACATCCACATCTCCAGACACAAAGTCACTGTATTGAAACTGAAATGTTTGTCCGTCGATAATGGCCTCCTTGGGCAGATCTGGAACCGAAAGCAGTTTGTACCCGCCACTGATACCTTGTTGGTCACGCAGGGAGGTGTACAGATCGTCACCAAGAACAACTACTTTATCCAGGTTGTCGGTCTGCCATGTGAACACGCTGTCAACTGTGTGTTTGGCTATGCCTACCAAACTTACAGCCATGCACTGAAGACCTGCATATTTAAACCGTTGGTCACCCTGACTGAATGTTCCCCTGATACACCCCATATCCCCAGCCCTGTCTGAAATGACTCTAGCAGTCTCCAAATTTACTTCAGCTGCTTTCACAGAAAGGCTTGTAATGCTAAACTTCTGTGCATTCAATGAATTATTTAGATTCCTGATGTAAAGCATCAGGTCATTAAGGCATGTGTTGAACACGGCTACAGATGTGCCAAAACTGGATGCCAACCCAGAAGCACCACGTGTGCCACAATCAACGACTACAATACAGTCATTGTGTTTAATAATGGCACTGGCTGCGGAATTTACGTTAAACAGACACATGCCATCCCTGGATAAGTGTTCAAGCAGCTTCTCCGACAATACCTGATCCCCTCCAGACAAATTAAATTCGCCGTACACTGGCACACCCATATTGACGTTCCACTTACGTCCAAACACACTGGTCTGCTCAACCAACCTGCACAAGTTCTTTGGCTTTACATTCATTTTATGGGCTTCCCCTAATACAAACGTGTTAAGCTTTGACCCTGCAACACGTATGGCATCGATATCTGTACTGCTCCACGTACACACAGGCGCAATCAAATGTTTAATCGCAGCCGCTATAGAACATGCAACAGATATTCTATCGTCAGAAACTGATGCATACCTCACAACAGTCCCTGCGACAACAGCCAACTGCACTTTCTCTGAACACATGCAACCATAACCCTTACCTGTTCTCCATCTGCTGTCATCATCAACATCCACTATCACGCTGGGTGATGGCTCGTTGCTGGGTGATGGCTCGTTGCTGGGTGATGGCTCGTTGCTGGGTGATGGCTCGTTGCTGGGTGATGGCTCGTTGCTGGGGGATGGCAATGGCTCCAGCCCTGGCGATGGCTCCAGCCCTGGCGATAGCTCCAGCTCGGGGAATGGCTACACCTAGAAGAAGATTAATATATAAAACAACTGCTAAAAACACTATGTGTCTTAAATTGTTTCACAAACGTTTCACTAAATAATAGAAAGCTATACAATTATGAATACGAAATTATTATTAAGTATTGTTTTTCTACTTACTCACACACATATTGAATGGAACTCAAAAGAGAGGTTTCTTGTCATTCATTGTGTACACTTGAAACAACGTTGACTGCATGCAGGCTAACAACTGAAACTATTTTAACAATGAGCAACAGTAACAATGTCAATAAATTAGCATTATTCATTAAAATGTCACTCTGAAAGCACATCCTTCACACAAACACCACAGACCTGCTGCTCCACAGCAACTGTCCCTCTACTGGTAGGTGGCCGTAAAATCACCTCCACAACCATGGGAGCTGCCTCCCCCTAAAAAAACAAAACAATTAAGTCACCTTGACAATAAATAACACCACCAATATTTGTGTAACTTCTTAGTTTTAAACCAGTCCTATATTGCCTTTAAAAAATAAGAAAACAACAACAACCTGTCGCATTGCCAGGGTCTTCATGGAGGCAGGAGCCCTCTGCTTCAGCTCCATCTTTGTTTTCTAATGTAAGGAAAACAAAATGATTAATCCTCCACTAATAACTCCTTATGGACAGTATAACTTGTCCTCACTGTAATACATTTCAAGTTTGTCAGGAAGGATACATTTTATAATAGGGCATCAACCAACATACAAAGCAACAAACAAATTACCTTTTTCCGTTTTGGAACCGGTGGTGTGCACTCATCAGGGCCAGGAAGATGGGATGGACTAATTTTGTTCATCTCAACCAACATTGCACTGCTGAACCACACAGGTGTCAGTGGAAGATAACTCTCCTCCAAATCCTGTGAAATAAAAAGGAATAAACACTGTTTTAGAAAAAGGGAAACAAATGCACATATAAACTGCAATACCCCAATGATTTGAAAGCATAATACAAAGTAGACCTACCTCCTGCTGAACAGTCCCTGCTGGTTTAAGTGCATCAATGGACTGCTCAGGTTCATCGTGTTGGCTCCTCTGTAAAGATAAATAGCATAGCTTGTGTTAATCAAATGGGTACTCTTCCACCATTATCAAGGCAAACTGCTCAGGGAATATCACTGTTATTGAAAGATGTCAACCACACAATTACCTTCCTGCCCTGGCCGATAACGGTCCACTTGGAAGGATCCAGTTGCGGTGATTTGGCAACCTCTCCTTTAACAATCACCCTTGGAGTGACTCTCCTCGCAGGCGGTGATCTTCTGTGGACAACAGGAGATGGCGTCGGCTCGGCTGGAACAAGTTGCATGTATGCTGCGTTCCAGATCGAACCGACCAGGATTGGCATTCCCGCACTGTCGCTCAAGTGCACCTGCAAAAACCAGCAAATACAAATACATTTACAAATACCACATAACATTCAATATGTTTTTTCAACAACGGAACTTGGAATTACAAAGACCTATACAGAGAACACTTTTCCATTTGCCATGTCACTCACGCCATCTCTGCTCCACAGGTCAAGTTCTTTAAAAGGGAAGTACTCTGCAATTTCTGTGTACTTCACGCCTAAAAACAACAACAACATCAATTACTAACATATCCACACAGATATTATATTTTGCTCTTTAAAAACAATTAAATATAGGACAATGATAAAAATGATTTACGGTACTTGAACCTATATATTTGTTAAACATACCCATACGTGCCGCAACACGACGAAATTCCTGACGCATCATGTCTTGGTAGTCAGGGTCAACGGTAAGGCGCGGGGGGAAGTCCAAGGCAAAAACCTAATCAAAGTTACAGTTCTCAACTACAAAGGTACGCTATTTATCAATATTTGTTGATAACATTTTATCATAAATACATAAACACCACATGGATAACAATACTAAATGTAATATTATAACAACTATAATAAATACAATAACAAATAAGCTTACGTTAGGCCAGCGACTGCAGGCAGTCGCAAGGAGCTTTGCATAATCCTCTCCTGCTTCAGTGATGGTCCTGCTGGATGTCAGGTTGTTGCTGGGAGCCATCACACAGACTGCATCTGGTGTCCTAGGCAGCACAGCATTGGCTGCCTCGGTTCGCAGCTGGGTTGCGCATGCCCCCGGTGTGGACATGGCACCAAAGGAAAACCTTCCCTCTGGCATCTTCACAATTCCATCGACGATGGAACGGAGATGTGAAGCTCCAACAAGGAGGACAAACTGTAACAACAGAAGACATTATTGCAAATGAAAATCACTAATGATTACCCAGACTTTGTTAACAAAATCTGAAAACAATTCATACTTCCTTGTCTGGAGACTCGGCTGGTACGACCAATTTGTGTTGTCGTCCGGTCAGGGACGAAATTGGCCATTTTCGCACTCTATGGCGGTCACCGGTACCGCCGGCGGCTATTTAAAAACAGAGAAAATTACACCGACATTACACTTAATGCACCTTTACAATTCTTAAATTATGTCAGCAATAATAACACATCTTCCTACAATAACACCTGTAAACGTGCAGAGGATTTTATAAGGGAAACGGCTCAAATGCATAAAGGGTCACACCGGTTATTGCATTTTAAAATGTATACATTTAAAACAAATCCATGTTTAAACACTTATTTTTACAATGATACAACAAAAATGGACACCCTAAACATATACAAAATTGAATGACTAAATCCTCCACTACTTACGTGCGAATCTGGCATTGCCAGGCTGCTGATGTCCCACACGTCTCCCAGCCACGCGTAGCTTTGAAGCCTGGGAACGGCGGGATGATTTAAGACGTGGCATCTGAAAGTATGTAGGCATTGTTATAATTAATAAAGACATTAGCAGACCCCTTAAATAGTACACATAATTACACAATTACTTCTTTCAACTGCAACTAAAGCCTACAAGTCCATTAATAGTTGATGCATCCTGTTCAACAAAAATGTACTTACTGTAACTGCTCACGAGATAAAGCTGGGTGGTGAAGATAGTGGTGGATGAGTAGGTGGTGAAGATAGCTGAGTAGGTGGTGAAGAAGGTAAGGTAGATGAGTAGGTGGTGAAGATAGCTGAGTAGGTGGTGAAGAAGGTAAGGTAGATGAAGATAGCTGAGTAGGTGGTGAAGAAGGTAAGGTAAGGTAGATGAGTAGGTGGTGAAGATAGCTGAGTAGGTGGTGAAGAAGGTAAGGTAGATGAGTAGGTGGTGAAGATAGCTGAGTAGGTGCTGAAGAAGGTAAGGTAGATGAAGATAGCTGAGTAGGTGGTGAAGAAGGTAAGGTAAGGTAGATGAGTAGGTGGTGAAGATAGCTGAGTAGGTGGTGAAGAAGGTAAGGTAGATGAGTAGGTGGTGAAGATAGCTGAGTAGGTGCTGAAGAAGGTAAGGTAGATGAGTAGGTGGTGAAGATAGCTGAGTAGGTGCTGAAGAAGGTAAGGTAGATGAAGATAGCTGAGTAGGTGGTGAAGAAGGTAAGGTAGATGAGTAGGTGGTGAAGATAGCTGAGTAGGTGCTGAAGAAGGTAAGGTAGATGAAGATAGCTGAGTAGGTGGTGAAGAAGGTAAGGTAGATGAGTAGGTGGTGAAGATAGCTGAGTAGGTGCTGAAGAAGGTAAGGTAGATGAAGATAGCTGAGTAGGTGGTGAAGAAGGTAAGGTAAGGTAGATGGGTAAGGTAGTTGGGTAGCTGGTCAAGCCGGTAGGTTGTTTAACTACAACAGAGAACAAACTAATCAGCATCACAGACATGTAAATATAATTACTTAACACAATGTACAATACAATTGCATAGCTTAGCATACAGTTATAAACTAAACAATTGTATTAGAAGCTGCTAATCACTTAGATTTACACTAATAAAGAGCCTATCTGTTTTCATTATACGTTATGCTACTGACAGTGTCTTGGACCACAACTCACCGGTAGAGAACTGCTCAAAGCTGTCAATCTGTGGGGAAAACACAGCATTAAACCCTGCTAATAAAATACTGGAAAGTTCCACATATTGTCATGGTATATGTTACTACAAACACTGTCTTTGACCAACACTCACCAGTAATGAACTGCTCAATAGTCGTCACTCTGTGAAATTAAAATAAAAATTAAACCTTGCAAACACAATGCTTGTTTAAATAGCCAAGTGTGGACCTAGCTAACACACACACACTCACATATTAATGCACACATGGTCCACATAGTATTTGATTCAACATTTCATCCAGCTTTCCTTTGTTCATAAAGGACAAAAATAAGCTCCTTATTTTACACATTCTGCTTTAACCAGCTTCACAATGAATTCACAAGAGGAATGACCACTCACCCCAGACAAGATAATATGAAAGAGAGGACAGGCTAAAATGCTACCAAAGTATATCTCACATTTAAAAAAATGAGCGACCAACCACAGCTCTCCTTCTGTAAAATATTGTTGTCTTTTCCCTCCAATCAAAATATATCATATTAACATTTGAATGTCAACAGCTTGCCATGCACACATGTTATGAATATAGACACATCAAAGGGCCAGGTGCAGAGATCCCTGATCCCTGAAACAAAGAATGGGATTATGGCTGTTGTAGTCTTTACCACCATTGGCATATTTGTAGTCCATTTATTCATAGTTACTTCAGTGTTCAATCGTTTTTGAATTAAAATAAAAAACGGAGATACTTAGAGCTATAACTATGTCTGTGTGTGTCTTAACTGTCATCCATGTTGTCATCATCTAAACAATGATAGCAAATACTAACTGTATGAATAAATATAGTATACCTTTAAATATATTTAATTGTTGATGAATTGTGAATGACTTAAAAAATAAGAAATATACAATATCTACATTTGAATGTCAACTGCTTGCTGGGTTAGCAATGTTATGCATTTATGAATATGACATTTAAAAAAATTAGCGACCAATCACAGCTATCCTTCTGTTACATTTTATTTTTTGACTTCTAATATAAATAGTTAATATTTACAGTAAAAAAACGATGTGCTTGCTATGCTAACGTTGTGCGTTTGTCTCTTTTGGCACGTTTCCACTACAGGCCTCGCTCGGTTTGGTTAGGCCTTATTAAGGCCCAGCTCACTTTAATGCTGCGCTTCCATTACAGTGAGAGCCCCAGAAAAACAACACAGCCGTTATCTCTTAGCACTCAGAGCTCACAGCTCCTCATATCTGGACGATCGGAGCATATATTACGTTAGCTTAGCCAAGGTCCATTTAGAAAAACACGCATTTTAAAAGGGTTTTTCGCCTGCCGTCTGTCTGCAGACTTGTCAAAGCATGAATTCATGCTTTTTACTAACCGCTATCAGTATGTTGTTACTTCGGCATCATTTTGAAACGTGGATTACAATTACATCACGATCAAATACGGCCCCCTTGCCAGCGATTCTCTCTCTATTTTAGCATACTCAGACCGACTCGCTTAAAGCTAGCTACGCGCTGCAGTGGAAATGCGGCATAAATCACCCATCTGAACTTATCACATCTCCTTTTCATGTCAGCCATCTGTGTAAATATGAATGTTGTATAAAGACTACACAAATAATGTGCTAATGAGTATTTGTTTCTAAAGTAAAGGATCAGATTACTTCTTCCAACCTTGAATAAATAAAGTATACCTTGAAATATATTTAATTGTCCATAGTTGAATTAATTCAAACATTACTTTATTTAAGCTATTGAAGCATTTAACCTGCTTGTTCATAAATGATATAAATGTGCCCTTATTTAACAAACAAAAATGTTAACCAGCTTCACAATCAATTTATAAGGAGAAAAACGACTCACCTCAGACAAAAATGCAGAAAGACCAAGCGATCGTTGAATTCAAACATATATAAACATGAGCTACCAATCAGAGCGCTCCTTCTGGAAAATATTTATTTTCTCCCCTCCAATCAGAATAGTTAATATTTACATTCAAATGTAAACTGCTTAGCATGCTGCCATGGCTTTTCATGTCAGCCATTTTAAGTACAAAAAACCCGCCAATCACTGGAGCGACATTTAAAAATTCCCAGAAATGAGTGGCCAATCACAGCTCTCCTATCTGGCATAGCAACGGTTGCCATGCCTCATTTCGCTCTTCGTGCTCCACCGCTCTTTTACCAGCGAGCTGCAGCTAATCACGTCCCCCTGCAGGAGAGCGAGCGTGCTCTGAGCTGCTGTGCTGCAGCGGGGAGAAGAGGGGGAGAAAAATAGATCTCCGTCCTCCGTGTTTTATTCTTATAGAAGTAAGAAGATAGGTAAATGGGCCAGAAACCATAGACTGTATATATAAATGGACGTAGTGTCCGTGACGTAAATAAAGTATACCTTGAAATATATTTAATTGTCCATAGTTGAATTAATTCAAACATTACTTTATTTAAGCTATTGAAGCATTTAACCTGCTTGTTCATAAATGATATAAATGTGCCCTTATTTAACAAACAAAAATGTTAACCAGCTTCACAATCAATTTATAAGGAGAAAAACGACTCACCTCAGACAAAAATGCAGAAAGACCAAGCGATCGTTGAATTCAAACATATATAAACATGAGCTACCAATCAGAGCGCTCCTTCTGGAAAATATTTATTTTCTCCCCTCCAATCAGAATAGTTAATATTTACATTCAAATGTAAACTGCTTGCCATGCTGTGCTTTTCATGTCAGCCATTTTAAGTACAAAAAACCCGCCAATCACTGGAGCGACATTTAAAAATTCCCAGAAATGAGTGGCCAATCACAGCTCTCCTATCTGGCATAGCAACGGTTGCCATGCCTCATTTCGCTCTTCGTGCTCCACCGCTCTTTTACCAGCGAGCTGCAGCTAATCACGTCCCCCTGCAGGAGAGCGAGCGTGCTCTGAGCTGCTGTGCTGCAGCGGGGAGAAGAGGGGGAGAAAAATAGATCTCCGTCCTCCGTGTTTTATTCTTATAGAAGTAAGAAGATAGGTAAATGGGCCAGAAACCATAGACTGTATATATAAATGGACGTAGTGTCCGTGACGTCACCCATAGGATTCTGCAGAGTTGCCGAGAAGCCCTTAGTAAACAGAGCTAGCTCAGGCTAAGAAGCTAAGCTAACATGAAATACATGCATACCAAATTACTGCTAGCAGTGTAGTTCCCCTACATAAACGTTACATTCATCATCAAATTACACAATCTGCAAGAGAATTACCTATAGTTTGTTATTCTTAATGCTTGTCATTCACACGTTGACAAAAGACGGACTCCACCAACCGGACCTAACGGAGCCGCAGTGGGCTAGCTCCGGGACGCCGGCTGGAGCTATCCCCCTGCGGCTCCGTTAGCTCCGGTGGCCACCACTGGGATAATTGGGTCCCCTATTAACATTTGCTCCCGTTTAGCATTATGGGCGTCATAGCCAGAGACTATAAAAGTCTTACCCAAGGCTGAATCATAAACTACAATTTATATGTATGTATAAAGGGTTAGGCCTACGTCCTTAGCTGGCTAATTTGTAGCAAGCTTAGCTACCAAACACACACACACACACACACACACACTTGCGAACGTGGTTAACATGTATAATATTATAATTTTACACTTCTTGGTAGTTCTGTTAGTACATTCAAGCGCACAGCACAACTTTTGAATTGTCTGGTATTTGGAACAATATTCCCATAAAGGCTAAATCACCACTAATACGGCTAAAGGGTCAAGTACAGTAACTACAACTAACTAACGTTGTAGACTCTATGGTTGAAGCTGTCACTACCCGATCTGCAGTGCGCATGTGCGAGATGGTCCGCCATATTGGACAACGCCGAACGGCAGCTGAAGTAGGACAACATTGACACAGTTGCTTTTGGCAAAACTCAAAAGGAAAACTCGAAAGACATGAGTTATTGTTATTACAACGTCACTTCACTATTATTTAACAACTCTTTTTATTGGTTTCTTTTATTTGGGGTTAGGTACATTGTCAGAATAAGTGAGACATGAATTTAACTTCTGTTAGATGCCATACATGTTTGCACACATTCACAGTAAATATGTATTCAGTATGATAGCTGTCTAGCAGAAGTTAAATCAATTTCTCACTTATTCTGACAATGTACTTAACCCCAAAAAAAATACAA